GTGTCCCCCTATCTCTCTCTCTCTCTCTGTGTCTCTCTCTGTGTCTCTCTATCTCTCTCTCTCTCTGTGTCTCTCCATCTCTCTCTGTCAGCCGGAGCAAACACTTCCTGGTTTGTAGACATGTGTGGGATACGTCGACGGTAGAGGAGGAGGTGATTTAACAGCCTGCAGGTGATTTAACACACACACACACACACACACACACACACACACACACACACACACTCTCGCTCACACACACAAACACTCACACACACAAACACTCACACACACAAACACTCACACACACACGCAATGGCAAATTTATTTATATAGCACCATTAATTACAACCCATGGTTGTCCAATGTGCAGAGGGGGCAAGTCTGATTGTGATAGGTAATTCATTCCAGAGTCTGGGGGCAACTACAGAGAATGCACGGTCACCTCTGCACTTATACTTCGACCTAGGGATAACCAGCTGTCTCTGTTTGGAAGACCAAAGTGATCTTCTAAAGCACTACGTCATTGTAGTTTGCTCCATTCATTTTGTACCATGGCTGTCTGGGCAATAACATGATTTAGCTAGAGATGTTATGCCATCGTGCAGTTATGGTGCACTTTTACCTTTTCCTTATTTCCTAATATTATTAGTGTATCACTAGTTACATTTCTTATCTGAAAAAAAAAGTTGGCTGTGAAGTTATATCTTATCACTAACCTAAAAACGAATGGAAACTAAACAGACTTTATACACTTCAGCAGAGCTCTCATTGCATTCATTCACAAATTTAGCGTCCTTTGTCTTAGAAAAGACAAATTCACGTGAAACACTTGGTCACCTCTACACTTATACTTCGACCTAGGGATAACCAACATTCTCTGTTTGGAAGACCGAAGTGATCTGGTGGGAAAATGTTCAATCAACAGGTCAGAAAGGCAAGATGGGGCCCTACCATTCAGAGATTTGTACACGATGAGTACAATTTTAAAATACGTATTCATGTTCATTAACATAATTCAGTCCAAAAGTGTGTGAGATACGGGGGAAAGGTGAAATATGTTTTACAAAAGTTTGACACTAATATAACTTCACAGATTATTTTACGAAGTATTTTTGACACCAATGGTACTCCATACAAACCCAGGTTCAAAATTACCCACATTTTTAAAATGGTTATATCTCTTAAAAAATAATTGTAAAAAATCTGAAAAAAATAAATGATGTGTATTTTTAGGGTCTTAAAGCATCTTCCTGAGAACTATACATTTTTTAGAAATTATTTATCTATCTTTTTCAAGTCAAAACGGACCTGACTGCATTATGAGGGTTAAAGACCACCAAGACCATTAATAATCAGGAATGTGCTGCTTTCATTCCATCCGAGTGATTATTTTCTCTTCAAACACTCCCTGATAACACCATTATTGATTAACTTCTCCTCCTACACACAAACCTCGACATAAATCTTCATTCCTGAGCAAGCCATTACACAATTAACTCACGGGAAAGCCATTAAGACCTTGAAAACCAGCATCATCGCCACAAATCACTGCAAATCCCTGCTCCTGCCTGATTAAAACCCGTTTTCACTCAGATCTGTGCGTTCTACTGCTTTTACAGCAGCATGGCTCTGATTACATTAGATATACATGTCCATTAGTGTATCAGTGGCTTAAGAGAACTTCATCCGTTCTTTCAAAGCCTCGCTGTGTGCGCATTCCCTCATAATTCAAGTCAAACCGGATCTGAGCTGATCTAATTTTCAAATCTCTAGCTTAAAATATCAATATATCGATATAAAGCAGCCAAAATCAGCAGTCAAGATATTTGTTTGTTCATCATTTTAATAATAAACAGCTGCGGTGAGAAACATGTAAAAATAGAATGAATGAATGAATGAATGAATGAATGAATCTGTCTCACGTCATTAAAACTCTTTTCATAAGAATCAACCAAAAAGTAAAGAGTTCAACAGCAGTTAAAATGGCTATATTTTAATGAGAAACGTGATAAATAGAAAAAAAAATTATAATAAAAACTAAAATACGTAAATAAATAAATAAAAGTTTATTTTTGAGAGTCCAAGAGTTAAAACAGCTATTTTTATAATGAGAAACGTGAAAAATAGGAAAAAAACAATTAAAAAAATAATTAAATAACGTTTATTTTTGAGAGACCAGCAGAGTTAAAACAGCTATTTGTAATAAAAAGCATGTGAGAGAAAAAAAAAATAAAAAATATATATATATATATATATATATATATATATAAATTAACAAATA